GTCTCTTCCTCTACACTCCTCGTCTCTTCTTTTTTCCCGTCTCTTCCTCTCCTCCTCTCGCTTCTTCCTTTACTACCCTCGTGTGTTCCTCTCCCCTCGTGTCCCCTCCTCCTGCTCCTCCACACGACCCAGCACAACACCCCCCCACCACCATGGTGTAGCGACCAGGGCCTTCTCTACTACCCGATCACTACTCCCATGCACCACATTCTCTCCATTTATGACTCTGTACAAAAATGAAACTGTTTTACACACAGAAATCACATAAGTGTGATTTCTGTGTGTAAGTACGGGCGAAGAGGTAGAATAGCTTACTGACAGAGCCCGGGTGCATATCTTGAGGTTATCTTGAGATGATTTCGGGGCTTTAGTGTTCTGCTTGTGCTCTCTAGAGTGGAGTACTGCTGCACAATGACAGCCCCTTTCAAAGCTGGAGAAATTGCTGACCTGGAGAGCGTGCAGAGATCCTTTACTGCTAGAATCCACTCAGTAAAACACCTAAACTATTGGGACCGACTAAAGAGCCTAAATCTGTACTCCCTTGAGCGCAGGCGGGAGAGATACATAATAATTTACACGTGGAAAATATTAGAGGGGCTGGTCCCAAACCTGCACACAGAAATAACATCACATGAGACCAGAAGACATGGCAGGATGTGCAGTCGGATCGGCCCAATCCCAGTTTGTATAAATTTTTGCATATCGTGGTCCATGGGTTAAGACGTTCGTCTAGGGTTACTCAGGACGCTGGTTCGATCCCCGTCCTGCACCAGAGAGTTTCTCACGCTCCTCCTGGCATCTCTGGCTAGTCTAAGTGCCATTTAAGAAATGCTTGTTAGTGACACTGGCTTGCCAGCGGCTCCAGTCTTCCTCCTTGTGTATCTTCCTTGATACAGCGCTACTAATTACTGGTACATTATATAAAACATTATATTCATTATATAATAGCGTTGCGGACGCCTTTATAGTGTCAATCGAGATGATGAAGAAGGCTTTTATATCAAAACAATGTCTACATATATATAAGCTTTTCATTTTATATGCAGGTTCATTAGTGTCTTCCGTCAGGAGTGGTGAATCTCTCTCTTAATCTGTCTTTCTCTTCCTGGTAAGCTCTTCATCTGAGTGTGGACCAAGTAGGTCAGGTGGGAGAGGATGAGGGAAGTAGGGAGAGGTGAAGATATTTCCTTCACTCAGGCAGGTTAATGTCTTCTAAGTCACCACTCAACCCCTCCTACTATACCGTTCTCTCTCTCACACACTCTCTCTCTCTCTCTCTCTCTCTCTCTCTCTCTCTCTCTCTCTCTCTCTCTCTCTCTCTCTCTCTCTCTCTCTCTCTCTCTCTCTCTTCCTCACACACACACACACACACAGTAGGGGCTGGGTGACCGGACATAATGAGGTGATAGCCGAGGCTATTTGAACCACCCCACCGCCGGCACTCGGATAGTAATCTTGGGCATAGCATTTTACCAAATCACCTCATTCTTTGGGGCACACGTGAGGAACACAAATGCGAACAAGCCTGAATGGTCCCCAGGACAATATGCAACTGAAAACTCACACCCCAGAAGTGACTCGAACCCATACTCCCAGGAGCAACGCAACTGGTATGTACAAGACGCCTTAATCCACTTGACCATCACGACCGGACATAATGAGGTGATAGCCGAGGCTATTTGAACCACCCCACCGCCGGCACTCGGATAGTAATCTTGGGCATAGCATTTTACCAAATCACCTCATTCTTTGGGGCACACGTGAGGAACACAAATGCGAACAAGCCTGAATGGTCCCCAGGACAATATGCAACTGAAAACTCACACCCCAGAATGAGGTGTGCCGGCGGTGGGGTGGTTCAAATAGCCTCGGCTATCACCTCATTATGTCCGGTCGTGATGGTCAAGTGGATTAAGGCGTCTTGTACATACCAGTTGCGTTGCTCCTGGGAGTATGGGTTCGAGTCACTTCTGGGGTGTGAGTTTTCAGTTGCATATTGTCCTGGGGACCATTCAGGCTTGTTCGCATTTGTGTTCCTCACGTGTGCCCCAAAGAATGAGGTGATTTGGTAAAATGCTATGCCCAAGATTACTATCCGAGTGCCGGCGGTGGGGTGGTTCAAATAGCCTCGGCTATCACCTCATTATGTCCGGTCGTGATGGTCAAGTGGATTAAGGCGTCTTGTACATACCAGTTGCGTTGCTCCTGGGAGTATGGGTTCGAGTCACTTCTGGGGTGTGAGTTTTCAGTTGCATATTGTCCTGGGGACCATTCAGGCTTGTTCGCATATATATATATACTATAACCTGGTCAGGGTGAGACAGCTGGGCGCGTCTACTTACACCTGGTACCTCTGTTCACCTAGCAGTAAATAGATACTTGGATGTTAGTCCAGCCTGTCCTCCTAAGGTTTGCCAACGTCTAGAAAACGGTCTATTTAAAGTGTCCTCTCCTAACCTGCCAGAGGACCCACAACAGAAAACGGGACAGTACGCCACTTTCGCCAGCCACTTCCACTTTCTAGTACGACAATTTTTGGACGTATGTAGCGCATACGAGCGAAAAGCGACGTTCTTTGTAGGACAGGTTGTAGTAGGACAGGTTGTAGGAGGACAGGTGGTAGGAGGACAGGTTGTAGGAGGACAGGTTGTAGGAGGACAGGTTGTAGGACAGGTGGTAGGAGGACAGATTGTAGGAGGACAGGTTGTAGGAGGACAGGTTGTAGGAGGACAGGTTGTAGGAGGACAGGTTGTAGGAGAACAGGTTATAGGAGGACAGGCTGTAGGAGGACAGGTTGTAGGAGAACAGGTTATAGGAGGACAGGTTGTAGGAGGACAGGTTGTAGGACAGGTGGTAGGAGGACAGATTGTAGGAGGACAGGTTGTAGGAGGACAGGTTATAGGAGGACAGGTTATAGGAGGACAGGTTGTAGGAGGACAGGTTGGTTAGTCAGCTGTTGTGGGTCACTTCCCATAAAAGGGCCACATTCTGCACATATTCCACAATAACTCGAATTTCCCCCCAAAAAATCATGAATTATATAAAATGTTTATATTAAGTATTAAATTGCATGCATCGTCGGTAATTGAACTCGGACGTGTAAAAAAGGGTGAATGAGATAAAGGGCGATGAGAGGGCGATAAAGGGCGGGGGTGAGAGAGATAAAGGTGGTGTAAGGGCGATAAAGGGTGAGGACAAGTAAGGTGATGTGGGGTAAGAAGCCAGGGCCAGATGGAGTTAGGAGAGGCGGTGGGAGGACAGCGTAATATCCGTCACTGGAAAATAAGCAATCAGGAGGTGGGTGAGTATGTCTGGCCTGGCTGGCCGCCAGCACCATCGTCTGCGCCCTCTGCCTCCTCTCACTCAGTCCCCACTCTATACCTGGGTGCTGGGGCCGCCACCCTCGCCTGAGAGGTAAGTATGGAGCCGCCTCCAGGAGGTCATTCACTGTCAAAGTGATCGTCGAGAAGGTCCTCCTTCTCGTGTATGCATATATATGGTGATCTAATTTTTCTTCTAAGGTGGCACATTCACTCTTAAACTGACACCTTCACTCCTTAAGCTGACACCTTCACTTTAAGGCTAAAATATTCACTCCTAAGCTGACACTATCACTCCTAAGTTGAAACTCTCGCTTTTAAACAGCGTTTCTGCCCGAAACGCTGCGGGTACTAGTGACTTTACAAGATTGTAATTCCTATACTATGTATCCTCACAATCCCAATGTACCTTCTTGTATATATATAAATAAATAAACTGAAGCCCTATATCTACTAAACTTTTGTCAACTTCACTTCTGACGCCAAGATTTGAACGGATTTATTTTAAATGGCGGGAAATATGCCTCACTCCACCTGATAGTGAAGCGAGGCTACCTGTTTACTACCTCCTGTTAAGACAAACGAAAATGAGATGTTAACTTGTCTCAACATAACCTATTGAAGAATGACAGTGGGTGGAACTGTATTTGAAGGAGAAAATGTTCGCCTCTATTCAAGTTCAAGTATGTTTACTGAGACAAGAAAAAATACATCTCAAAGGGATAGAGTAGCTTAGGCTATTTCTACCCCCCCCCCCCTCCCTGTTCGCCTTTAAACTTTTGAATATACAAATGCATTACTCAATCAATGTTTTATGATCAATTGTGATCTTCTAACAATGCCAATTTAAATCAGTTAACTCTTTTTAAGAAAATATCGCGAATGGGTAATCAAGCGAAAGGAATGTTTATACAGTATCAACATACAGAAAATATTGCATATAGAGGTAATATAATATAACTAAGCCATCCAGGCCAGTTGGGAGGAAGCAACTGTTGCCAGGCACTCCCCCCCTCTATAGTGAAGCAATATATATATATCAGCCCCTCCTCCTTAGATTTCCCAACGTCAAGAAACTATCGTACTAAAGCATCTGTGCTAAACTATATCGTACAACTATCGTATCGTACAACTAGTGTATAGTACAACTATCGTATCGTACAACTATCGTATCGTACAACTAGTGTATAGTACAACTATCGTATCGTACAACTATCGTACTAAAGCATCCTAACCCGCCAGAGGATCCAAAACATAGAACGGGACAGGATGTCAATTTTGCGAGACCCTTCTATTTTCTAGTACGACAATTTTTGGCCTTAGGTAGAGTACACGTCAAAATGCGACGCTCTATAAGGAGGTCGGGCTGTATATATATACACACGTCTTCAAAATGAGTTATTATTGTTTCCCTGATTATTCAGATGCTATACATAAACATAATTATTTAAATCATTTGTATATTATTTGCGGATCTAGAAAACTAAGAAATATAAAGATGAAGATGCTTAAAATTCTAAGCTTATTAACACACATTTGAAACAACCCGCATTGTTTATTTAAATAGGATAGACACACACTTACCTGGAAGGACAAGTGCTTAGCGTGGGTCCTGGATAGACACACACTTACCTGGAAGGACAAGTGCTTAGCGTGGGTCCTGGATAGACACACACTTACCTGGAAGGACAAGTGCTTAGCGTGGGTCCTGCCGTTCACAGCGATGATGAAGACTGTGTTGACAACGATGACTAGGACTCCGAGCAGCGAGGAGCAGACAGCCTTGATAATGTCTGCTGGTGAGGGCGTTGTAGGGTGCTGGAACATGGCAGACCAGCAGGAGAAGTTGGTCACGTCCGGTACACTTTCCTTGCTCACCATCGTCTTGTTTTCTATATCACACAGAAACTCAGGTTGATTTATAATTCATATTTCCTTTTCTTCTGCTTTAGTCTCAGAAGTATTCCTCTTCCATTTTCAATAGAAGCTTCAATGCAGTTACTTTCAAAGAGGTTTTAACATATTTATATTTTCTAAGATGGTTAGGGTATATGTGAGTAATATATCCTTCATGGTGTGGGCAGCGCTAGGCTACTTCACCATGTATTCTCTCTTTCCTACACATTTAACCACATATAACTTGCATATCTGATGACAGTCACGCTCTTTATAAACTTCTAGCACTAATTCTTATGGATATGAAGTATTATAACATTTTCTAGAAATGAAAACTGAGGAAACCTGCCGGGAATATCAGTTACCATCATGCAGTCATAGTTTCATTGTCATTGTTCAAAAGTGAAAATTTCAATATTTTCTTCATTGTGCTTTTCAGAACTACTCCAGATTTCTGTAATAAGCATCACATATTTTTAATCTTTGTTTCTACTTCCAGCTGAAAATTGAAATAGTATTGTATTTTCCTGAAATAACACAATAGAATGTTTTTCAATCCTTGCTCCAAGGGCCTCCATCTGCCTCTGTTACAGCGGCCTGAGGGCCGATATATTGACCCAAATATTGCGCGGATTTGCCTTTAATAAATGCTTTTGTGTAAGTATGGCGGAACTGCCTTCTTTGTGGCAACCCTTCGCGGCTATATGCACATTAATTGTTTATATTGGCACCTGCCAAAATCAGCATTAGCCTGACCACACTAAGACACGACCACAGAGCGTTCTGAGGTTTCAATCTTGAAACCTCAGAACACTGAAGCCTGACCACACTGTAAATAGTGGGACCAGCAAGCACACGACTAATCCCACTTGCTGATAATAATAACAATATCACCTATACCACCAATGGTTCCCAGTATTACAGGAAGCCGTTGATAGCGCTCTATATTATCTTTACGAAGCTTCCCTAACGTTATGGCTAATTTTAAGGTTGACGTAAATTTCTTATCAAACTCGTTACAACAACAATTAAATCTGGTTTATAAAGGTTACATATTTCCTTATTGACAGTTTGTTGATTATAAAAAGAGGTGATTATTGTATCATATTGCCTGTCTGAAAAGCCTAGCGATAGGTACAAGTAAATGTGTTTAATATTAATAAAACAAATAAAAATAATAATAATAATAATAAAAATAATAAATTACCTACGTATAGCCTCTCACACCGGAAGCTTTAATACTCATAACATTATCATTAATAGTAATAAATTGATATTTATCAGATGTTTCTTAATTTCAGTCAAATTATATGTAATTATAATTTTATTATATTTTTAATTTGAATTAAATATACTTACACATACATTTGCATATCCTCTTTTTGTATTAACACATTTAGGTACATCTGCATATGTGCAGCTGCCCTAGACAATATGAAGAGAAGTACAGTGTGTCAAAAAACTAGCTACGTGATGTTAAATATCCCCATCACACAGGATGGTTAGTCATACAGAGGCATGTGATGAGTAGTCTGCAGTGGAAAACTCATAATGATATATCCGCCACATAACACATAAAACACACACCATACAGCAACGTCAAAAAACATGCGACGTACACAACCACTCACCGTATGATTTGCACGCAACATAAGACACGAAAACACACTCATCATACGCAGAGTTCTAAGTTCGTTGTCAAAGTGAAGAGGCATTTTCCTGATACGATAAGAAAACTTACACCAAAAATGTTGATAGGGTACAAATGAGACACTGAACGGAACCATAACGTTATCTTGCTGCCGGAGATGCCTAATAATTCCGAACGATGCAAGATCATTAAGATCATTAACTATAATGAAAATATAAGTTTCCTCAGTAACGCGTTTCGAAGACGCTCTTTAGCAGTGCAAGAAAACCTAATCCTGGCAATTTTAGTTCTTACAAATTTGTCTTCAAAAGGTCTCTTCACACAGTTTAAAGATGAGTTGTCGGAGCAGAATCCCGGCCACATACACTACCTCCAATATTACCTGTGGCCGTTCGCTGTCTTACGGATTCACTTGTAGTTACCTTAAAGCTAACCTCTGCCATTCTCAAAGACACTTGAATGGAATGAAATTGGAATAATGAATCTAATTAATATTTAACACCTGATATAAATATTAAAGTAGTTTTTTTATATATAGTAAAACGTGACATGACCAGAAAATATTTGTTACCCAAAACACATAAAGTATTTTGATGTCGTGGTCTGCACCATTGTTCAGCTCGATATCGTAGCGCAGGAAATTAATTTCAGGAAATTAGGTTTATGCCGTTTTTGGCCTATCTAAATTCATCTCTATAATGTATCTCTTATCTTGAGATGATTTCGGGGCTTTATAGTGTCCCCGCGGCCCGGTCCTCGACCAGGCCTCCACCCCCAGGAAGCAGCCCGTGACAGCTCACTAACACCCAGGTACCTATTTTACAGCTAGGTAACAGGGGCATAGGGTGAAAGAAACTCTGCCCATTGTTTCTCGCCGGCGCCTGGGATCGAACCCAAGACCACAGGATCACAAGTCCAGCGTGCTGTCCGCTCGGCCGACCGGCTCCCTTACACATCACATATTTAATACATAGAGTGGAGCACGACATCTCATCACATGTCAAACTGACGCATGACACTTCATCACAGGTCATAAACTTTTTGATGAAATGATGAGTGATGCAACACAAATTATTTGTCACATAATTCATATTATAACTAATAATAGTTATAATAACAATTAAAAATGTTCACAAATTCCCTGACAAATGCAAATTTTAAATCTAGAAATTAATTATTGTTGACAGCGGTGTCCAGTTGTATGTGTACTCAATACTTATGCTGTGAGCGGTTGTTTATTGTGCACCCCATACTCATCCTGTGAGCGGTAGTTTATTGTGCACCCCATACTCCTCCTGTGAGTGGTAGTTTATTGTGCACCCCATACTCATCCTGTGAGCGGTAGTTTATTGTGCACCCCATACTCCTCCTGTGAGTGGTAGTTTATTGTGCACCCCATACTCATCCTGTGAGCGGTAGTTTATTGTGCACCCCATACTCATCCTGTGAGCGGTAGTTTATTGTGCACCCCATACTCATCCTGTGAGTGGTAGTTTATTGTGCACCCCATACTCATCATGTGAGTGGTAGTTTATTGTGCACCCCATACTCATCCTGTGAGTGGTAGTTTATTGTACACCCCATACTCATCCTGTGAGCGGTAGTTTACTGTACACTTCACACTCATTCTGTGGATGGTAATTTATTGTACACCCCATACTCATCATGTGAGCGGTAGTTTATTGTGCACCCCATACTCATCCTGTGAGCGGTAGTTTATTGTGCACCCTATACTCATCCTGTGAGCAATAGTTTATTGTGGACTACATACTCATCTTGTGAACGATAGTTTACTATACAACCAATATTCATCCAGTGAGCGGTAGTTTTTAAACACCCTATATGCATCATATGAACGCTAGTTTACTATGCATCTTAAACCTATCCTGTGAGTAGTAGTTCACTGCAATAGAATCTTAAGTCCGAGCAGAGATAAAATTTTGACGTCATAACATTATCCTCCTTCAACATACCATGTATAAAACATTTTACTTCTCATTTGGTTAGGTTATCTTGAGATTATCTTGAGATGATTTCGGGGCTTTAGTGTCCCCGCGGCCCGGTCCTCGACCAGGCCTCCACCCCCAGGAAGCAGCCCGTGACAGCTGACTAACACTCAGGTATCTATTTTACTACTAGGTAACAGGGGCATAGGGTGAAAGAAACTCTGCCCATTGTTTCTCGCCGGCGCCCGGGATCGAACCCGGGACCACAGGATCACAAGTCCAGTGTGCTGTCCGCTCGGCCGACCGGCTCCCTCCAGGGTGGTGAAAATTTGCTCAGGTTTTAGAACCTACTCATTTACTGTGAACTTGATACTGAACTCTGTGAAGAGTTTGCGCTAAAGGATTACAGAGGGCACCAACGTTCTAACTCAGAGCCCCCCAATGGATGTTTGACTGTTACAATTATAAGTACATCGTCGGTAACAGAACCTTTGTTTATAATATAATTACTTAACTGTTAAGATCATAATTACATTGTCGGTAACAGAACCCTTGTGTATACTATAATTACCATATATAATACTGTAACTGTATATTGTAAAGAGTTTTTAACTCATTTAGGTAGATTTGCATTTGAGCAGCTACCCCTAGACTATATAATGGGTTGCATACTTTATGCCAAGAGCTGCCTTTGTGATAGAAATCCCCATCTCACAGGATGATTATTCCTACAGGAGCATGCTATCATAACCTGCTCTGGCCAACTTTTGGTACATCATGAGAATATCCTCTAGAATACGAGTTTACAAAGTAATTGCAAAGCTCTAGTTACCTCATACCGAGAGGTGTAATAAAGGTCTATTGGCTAGACATTCAATAATGTATTATGTGAGATCATGAGCGAGTTCTTGCTCACAGAGCTGACATATTAAATGCTCAGGGTTCGGACATTCGTCCCTTCAAGCTATATTCCACGGTAGCCTATCCTGATCCTAGAATCCACTAAGTACCACTGCAGTTTTTTTTTTGTATTAATACATGAGGTACATCTGCATTAGTGCAGCTACCCTAGACTATATGAAGTGGAGTACAGTGTGTCAAAAAAGCTAACTAGGTGATGCTAAAAAATCCCCCATCACACAGGATGGTTAGTCATACAGAGGCATGTGATAAGCAGTCTGCACTGGCAGACTCCGGATGCATTTTGAGGATATCAACAACACAAGATTGAATAAGGTAGCAGTGGTAATACAAGTCCCCATCTCGCAGGATGGTTAGTCATACAGAGCCATGTGTTTAATAGCCTGCACTGGCAAATTTTGGGTATACTGTGAGGATATCTTCAGGAATACGAGAGTGAATAAAGTAATTGCAAAGCTCCAGGTACCTCATGCCAACTGGTCTGAAAGGTCTAATAACTGGGCATTCAGTGATGTAGTGTTCACCGTTGCTGTGATAAACACTAAGGGCAACCCCCGCCAGGTTTCACTACATCATTCAAACAGTAGCCTAGTTCATGATACCGATTTGTTACAAAACGTTAGAATGAAGCCTAGTGCGATTATTACAGAACAATAGTACCTCACGAAACCAAATATTGTACACCAACACGGTACAGCCAGGCCTAGTTCACCAACACGGTACAGTCAAGCCTAGTTCACCAACACGGTACAGTCAAGCCTAGTTCACCAACACGGTACAGTCAAGCCTAGTTCACCAACACGGTACAGCCAGGCCTAGTTCACCAACACGGTACAGTCAAGCCTAGTTCACCAACACGGTACAGTCAAGCCTAGTTCACCAACATGGTACAGCCAGGCCTAGTTCATCAACACGGTACCGCCAGGCCTAGTTCACCAACACGGTACAGCCAGGCCTAGTTCACCAACACGGTACAGCCAGGCCTAGTTCACCAACACGGTACAGCCAGGCCTAGTTCACCAACACGGTACCGCCAGGCCTAGTTCACCAACACGGTACAGCCAGGCCTAGTTCACCAACACGGTACAGCCAGGCCTAGTTCACCAACACGGTACAGCCAGGCCTAGTTCACCAACACGGTACAGCCAGGCCTAGTTCACCAACACGGTACAGCCAGGCCTAGTTCACCAACACGGTACAGCCAGGCCTAGTTCACCAACACGGTACAGCCAGGCCTAGTTCACCAACACGGTACAGCCAGGCCTAGTACACCAATACGGTACAGCCAGGCCTAGTTCACCAACACGGTACAGCCAGGCCTAGTACACCAATACGGTACAGCCAGGCCTAGTTCACCAACACGGTACAGCCAGGCCTAGTACACCAATACGGTACAGCCAGGCCTAGTTCACCAACACGGTACAGCCAGGCCTAGTACACCAATACGGTACAGTTCCTTAGTAAACACAACACGACCAAGCCAGACACATCAACAAGCAGCACGACCAAGCCAGACACATCAACAAGCAACACGACCAAGTCAGACACATCAACAAGCAACACGACCAAGTCAGACACATCAACAAGCAACACGACCAAGCCAGACACATCAACAAGCAGCACGACCAAGCCAGACACATCAACAAGCAACACGACCAAGTCAGACACATCAACAAGCAACACGACCAAGCCAGACACATCAACAATCAGCACGACCAAGCCAGACACATCAACAAGCAACACGACCAAGTCAGACACATCAACAAGCAACACGACCAAGTCAGACACATCAACAAGCAACACGACCAAGCCAGACACATCAACAAGCAACACGACCAAGCCAGACACATCAACAAGCAACACGACCAAGCCAGACACATCAACAAGCAGCACGACCAAGCCAGACACATCAACAAGCAACACGAGCAAGTCAGACACATCAACAAGCAGCACGACCAAGCCAGACACATCAACAAGCAACACGACCAAGCCAGACACATCAACAAGCAACACGACCAAGCCAGACACATCAACAAGCAACACGACCAAGCCAGACACATCAACAAGCAACACGACCAAGCCAGACACATCAACAAGCAACACACATCAACAAGCCACTTACAAAGACACATCAACAAGCAACACGACCAAGCCACACACATCAACAAGCCACTTACAAAGACACATCAACAAGCAACACGACCAAGCCACACACATCAACAAGCCACTTACAAAGACACTTGACAACCAGTCACTTCTCAGCTTCTAGGAGTTTCTCAGGATTCATCTGAATAAAAGTTTTTTTTCTCTTCAAACGTAATTTTTGTTTTATGAATATATGTATTTTTGAGTACGTGGCGGACATTTTCACTTTATAAATATATATTTTGAAGAACATATTGTCACCGCTGATGCAAGTACATGTGAAGTATATATTTTGCATGTTCGTTTTTCCCAGGTGATTGATGAAGTATTAGCGGCCGCTGGTTAGTGAGTCTGTGGCCAAGATGGTGACGACTGTCTCGAGCAGCGTCTTGGTGATGCTGTAAGGTGTCACCTGCAGCTGATAGTGCACCAGTTACCTGGAGAGAGGCAGACGGAGACCCTCACCGCCCACACCCTCACTCCACGCCCACACGGAGACCACTGACTGACTGGCGCCCGCCCTCCAACACTCTCGGTGGAGGAGGGCGCGCGCAGGCCAACTGCTGGAGAAGGGAAGGGGTGCTGGCCAACTGCTTCAGGGAGAGGAAACAACTGCTTAGTGGAATAGAGAAGGGGTGAGGATAGCTAGCCAGCTGTCTGACTAGCTATTTGGTCAACTGCTGGAGGAAGGGAGAGCAGGTCAATTGCTGGAGAAGGAGGGGTGGGATAGAGGGCCAACTGCTGGAAGGGAAGGGAAGGGAGGCGGGCCAACCCCGCCCACATGAGCCTCCTCCACCCACTCCCACTAAATCGCATCCCACACCAACTGGCGACCATCCCTTTGTTCCCCGCCACAGTTTGCCTTCTTGTCCCAGATCACCACACGGGCAGATGTTGTTTGTCTTATATTCTAACTGTTACCTAATATATTCCACAACGCACTATATTTTATGTGCCACTGGTTTCCATCATTCAACAAATCGTATATACCCCATTTTCCTATCTATTTCACTGCTTTTTATATCGTCTACTAGGTTTATATTTATTTCTAATTCACCATAGACTGATGTACATACAATTTACACGAGTCATTATATCATCATTTTCATCTACCACCCCGTAATGCTCTATCTATCTCTGGTGATGGTATTATTGTACTGGTGGTATTATTGTACCGGGCCAGCAATCCAAAAGATTCAACCTCGAATCATCCTAAAACCAACTTTTCCACCAACCAGGCACATCAAGCTTGGCGCTATCCCCTGAAAATTCCCTTCCCTTCACAACCATCCAACCTCAGGGGGACGAGACGTGGTTTTCTGTTGTCTGGGGCAGGAAGCCTGTTAGACTTATCACTGTTGCCCTTCCTGACTGACTGACCTTCCTCACAATACCTCCCACGACAGTTGCTTAACAGTATCTATGTGAACAGTTGTATTAGGTGAAAGGAAACTTGCCCAGGCATCCCGCTTCCTGGGAATCTAACCCAGGACTATGTGTTTGTGGATTGAGGAGTGAATTGTAAGCAACTATATTTTTGGGGGGACAGAATACATAAAATAGAATAAGACGGAATTGAATAGCCTCTCTGTTTTCACTTTGTGGTGCATGAACAGTAGTTTTCTATCTATAATCTTATTCGTTATACATCATTCCTTGGCTAATATATCTTAATCAAACCCGAGACACTTATTCAATGTGCAACTATCACTACAGACATCTAAACGCTGTATTCTATACTCTTATTATAACATTTCCATGAAATACTTTGCATACATTTGTATTTCCTTCTATTGGCATCCTAATTTTAATTATATTGTTGTCAGATCCATGTCATATTCTATAATTATTTATTTAAATTACCTCTTTATAGCTAATGATCACATAACCTTCATTTTCTTAATTATTTTTCATTTGTCTTGTGTTTAAGTCCAAAATTATATTTTCAAATTATCTAAAAGCTTATGAGCTATTTTATCTTTTACAACTTCCGGATACTCCTTTTTTTTGGCAAAGGAGAATAGCTTTCCCAAGGTTACAACTTATTTTTTTTTTATGAGTCCATCTACAAAAATCATTAAAAATGTAATGAAAGCCACATTACAAAAGTTACCATCTATATCCTATTTTTTCCCATGCTCTATGGGATTATTTCACAGAGTGAAATTTCAATTTCAAATTGTCATATGAAGGACAACTACCAAGAAAACCTGTTTGTAAAGAGGTTTAATAGCATCTAGTATATTTTCCACGCCCTATCCTTGAAACCTCATTTGTGAACAAAAACTGGGGAATCTCAAATTTAAATTGAACCATAGAATTTGGTTTTAGATACAGTATGTTCAACAGGTTTTCTAAAAGCCCCCCTAACTATTTCTTGTATGTTATGCCTATCTACAAAAATCATTAATTATCTACGAAAATTATAATTTCAACCTGTGAAATAAAGAACCACCACCAAGAGAACCTGCCTGTAAAGAGATTTATCCACATCTAGCAAATCTCCCATATGCCCAAACCTCAAAATCTCCTTTTCAGAAGAAAAAGGGCTCATATTCTTCTGAACAAAGATAAACATAATACCACAGTTCCATTCACTTGGGCTGTAGGAATCTCGAACCGTGGACCCGACATGTGTGAGACCAAAGCTCTACCGCCTGGGAAATAACACCACAAGACATCCCTCTCAGGAATATGCAATTCCAATAGCGACAGGAAAAATAGAACCATATTTGAGTGACTTAACTTTCATCGATCACAATAAAATGAGTTAAGTGGCACATCGTACTGGGTTTAGTTAAATTATCAAGTTCTCATCCTTGCACTACCTGGAGTGACAAGAACAAGCCTATTTGCTGTCAATGAGTTATAAAATGTATTGAATTTCAATATTGCTTCTAGGTCTTACTATTATTGACCAATTTTTATGTTAGATTAATTTCACTGTATTATCTTAATATAAATTCTGTTAATTTGCCTGTTTTTATGACTGAAAATAGTGTACTGTAATTGCAAGCCAATTTTACCTCTAAACATCCTTGTACTCATCCAAAATTAAGTTAAAATACAAGTACATAAAGCTCACAGTATTGAAGGATAAATATAATAATATGTTAGGTATATATATATACATTTTATTTACAAACACTACAAGTTAATGTTAGTTGAGTACACAGAAGAAATTTCAGCTCTATCATATTATATGGATATAAAATAAGTAATATCTTATGAAAAAGTACAAAAGAAGAGAGCAAAGAAAATAATGCATCACTAAGTCCTTGGAATACTGGCTGGTTCCCCATAAAATGAACAAAGTATAAAATTAACATAAATGAATTACACTGAAGAAATGAACAGATTATATACAAGGAACAGTCAACTGCACAGCAGCAATGTTATTTTGGACTTAGACGAGTAATAAGCTGTGGGAAGCCAGTGAACTAGTTCTCTACCCCAGGCAAAGAAGTCCTAGATGGTCAATGTCACCAAAAAGCCAAATGGGAAACAGTTCCAAAATATATGAAGTTAATACAGACGAGGAGTCATAATAACGCGGCTGAAATATGTTGACCAAACCACACACTAGAAAATGAAGGGACGACGACGTTTCGGTCCATCCTGGACCATTCTCAAGTCGATTGTGAAAACAATCGACTTGAGAATGGTCCAGGACAGACTGAAACGTCATGGTCCCTTCACTTTCTAGTGTATGGTTTGGTCAACAAGGAGTTAATGTCTGAGAGTATAAGATACCTAGTCTGCATTGGGTGATTGCTGGACTTGTGCACGAGGAATATATAACCACAAGTGTGGGACTCGTCCCACACTTGGCCCTCATCATAATTTGTATACTTGTGCTCCAACACTAATATTAACTGCTGTGAAAAGCATATAATTGGATTAAAATTGTATGTGCATCTAAAATGTTCTCAATGTAACAGACTGCTGCTGTCAACAGCAGTTTTCAACATTTCACAACCATCCATTGTACTAACAGAGGACACCTCAAGAGTCGAGTGACATGCAACGTTCTAGGAAAGATAGAAAATATTTAATAAAATAATAAAGAAAATATAGAAAATGGTGATATTCTTGCAGAATTAAAAAAAATACCAAAGTTACACTGAAAGCCTAAAACATTCAACTTTTTGCAATTCATTCAAAATCATATTCTCTGTATACTCAAAAATATTATAGCATATACTATTTTCTATATTATTTTATTTAATATATATCATCATTTAAATTTGTGTAATTTGTGATCAAAGTGTGCATGTCAGGTGACATATTTAGTTCCTTATAGAAAGACAAAGACTTTTAAAAAACTACTGTAGCTCAGTCACCAAAATACTAATGCACATAGGAACATTTCCAAATAATATCTAACATAGTATCAACTATCATTATAATTAGAAATTCCAGATCATCCATAAAAGGATAAGCATAATTGTTCAGGCAACTGTTTGTCAAGGTATTATTAAGCTATGCAATGATTTTAAGTTAACTCTGTAAATTCTAGAAATCTAAAATGGTTTTAAAACATATCTCACTGTACTATTAACTTTGAAAGCTAGCATTTTCTGAACCTGAATGTTAACTACTGAAAGACTATTTAAATCTACGCCTTCCATATCACATTCACAATGATATAAATTGGAACCAATTCGTCTGGTCTTACTCATTACATGTTTGCTCTAAGCATACAGCTGCACCAGTCTATATTATTTTGCAAGAGATTCAGCATAAGCAGAAAAATTTCATCCAACAACAACTCAAATTCAAACTAAATAAATTAACAAAGTCCTATCATTATAAGATTTTTTCTAATACAACAATAGGAATTCAACACTAACCAGGATTGTTCTAGCAATAATAAACTTTTCTATTGATATTTTCACCTAAGTTAGCTGGAGTTGAAAATAATTTTGTATCTGCATCCTGTCACAATGTAATCACAGTCTCAGAAGACTTGGGAGTGTTGAGCTGCCCTCACAGAACATGGATTTAAGTGTAAGGAAACAAAAAGCTACAATAAAACGTCTATATTGTGTAGCAAGCAACTCAAGCTGCTATTTTATATGGATACAGATGTGCTCTTCATTCATACCAAGTAAGATATTGAAGAGCTTAAAGTAACCTGGCACTTATATGGAGGAATATAATTTTTATTGAAACAATCAAAAAACTGTCATTTTAAATTCTGTGCTGACATTAAAAGCATTAACAAATAATAATTAATCATAGATGTTCATAAGATCTTTGTAAAAATATATCTGGTTACAAAATTCAGTATTGTTAGTAGAATTTTATTTATATCTCAATAAAATATTTTAAAATTTATGTATAATAATAGCAAGTTTGCTAAAAACAAACAAAATCATGTACCCTGCTCTCTAATATCTTAAAAAAACTAGCACTGTATATGTTAGCTTCAATGTTCAATATATTTCACAAATTAAAGCTGTAAAGCTTAGTATAATACATCATTGAAATGATCATGATGAATCTATGTTTACGCAACTACCTTATGGTTCATTTATTTATTCTGAATGACAAAAGCTACCAAATTTACATTAATATTCCTACATTATTATTAAACATAGAATTTTATATAAAACATTGAAAAGTGTCTATAATAATGAAATAGAAAACTCACAGAGCATAGTGAAGGAACCATATATCAGATCTACAACACCAACCTGGGGTACCAGTACCTATTATTTTATTAATAAATAATTGTAGCCTGCACCTTCACTAATACCTTTGAACAATATGCTCACTAGCATCAATGACAACTATGTGTAGCTACCTACAATAATCAATGGGATGTGTAGCTGTGTGTCCATTCCATCACGAATACCAACACAACCGTATTTCCTAAGGTAAAAGTGCATGTACAACAACAAGTAGTTGTCTGTGGTTGATGAATATGCAGTCATTAGAGGTATCAATAATCATATAGACAATGCATTTGAGCATTTGGCAATGGGATAACAAATAAATACGAGGGTATTCTGATCATTATTCTTTAATAAAAAAATAGTGCATTTTTATTAATTTCAACACTTTGCTGCCATCCAAATGTCAAAAACTATTGTTTTCATATTATAAAAACATCTAAACATTTTACATTTAAGGCTGCTTCAGTATGAATTAAAACCTTTAATGCATCAAATCTAAATGTGTTTCCACTTGAGACTGCGATGAGATTTCTGTATACAGTTTTGTAAGGAATGGTCTGGGGAAGATACATTTTTGTGTGTGATGCAACACTGATAATTGTATACAAATGCATAGGCATGTGAAAAGCACCAACATTATGTGTATGATATGTTACAGTATACAGCCTAGCTATACTATACATGAAGTTATATGTTGCAGTGCAACAGCTTAGCATATATTTCTAAATGCACATATATGGTTCAGCATGATTGCCTTGCTGTAATTTTCTTGATGGGAGTTATTTTATAATGGTGTAGCCATATTTATAATACCAGGTAGCATTTTGCAACTAAATTAAGTGGAAGGGTTATAGAAAAAGGGAAAATGAAAAGAAAATTCAAAGTTGGAAAACAGTATCAACAGTGGAGGTGCGAGACACCGTAACTTACCTACTATGAAAGGGAACTCCTTGAGTTGGTTGATTGGTTGATGGGGTTCTGGGAGTTCTTCTACTCCCCAAAGTAGAATATATGGTAGAAGTATAGAGTATAATAGTAGTTACAAAGTAGAGTATATGGAATACCAGCAGAGGTGTTGAACAGTGGTAGTGCCACATGCCAGAACGGGTTCATAACAATTTATGTATTCCTAGAGAATGAGGAAGGATCTACATGAGATAAAAATAGGAATGGTGCCCTTGCATATGAGCACATAGGATGAGTATTGAAACTTTAGGGAAGTAAACCTACTATGCATGGTAAGGAAAAAATAACTCTTCCAAGGTAAGGAAACTGATAATGAGTTTGAAGTAAGATAATGAGAAAGGAAGAAACAATGAGGGGGTTTATAAAACATAGAAGAGTTTCATATCAGATATTTTTAGCAAAGATAGATCCAGAAAAGTGAGGAAAAGGAAAGCTTTAAGAATTAATGAGTAGATCAGGTATTCTTAGTTCAAAAATAATATGCAGCGGTCCCCACCAATCAGTATTTTTGCCAATAATTCAAATACAATTGCAACATGTAATCCTGAGTTTACAATATGCAAAACAAGAATATTTCAAATTTACTAGTAAGAAAACAAATGGATTCCGCAAGACAAAGAGACTGACACGTTAGATTTTGCTCTAGAAATAAAATATGGTTGCAAAAGACACTGAAATTATAGTTGAAACAATTGAACGAATTACAAAATTCAAGTATCGTGAGAATGATTATAATCCAACATATCAAAATGAAGACAAAAATACAGAAAATGAAATAATAAAGAAGACAGGTGACCGGGTTTACTTGGGACGATTTTGAATGAGAAACAATTATGAATATGAGGAGAAAACTGTGTAAGAATATATCCTCCAAACCCCGAGATGTGAGCAAATGGTAAGAAATAATAAGGCTGAAGTGTTAGGATCATGTGGGAAATCCAGACACATTAGCTTTGTGGGCTCTGAGAAATACATTCTAAAGGTTTGTGCATGTTCAGTGTGTCATTGATAATAGACTGGCAGAGGCAACTACAAGGTATTGAAACAGTAACGGAGGATATAACTGGAAAACACAACTAAAAGTGGTTAAGAGTGATGAATACATAAATCAACATTCTTTAAAGAAACCACAATGGAATACATAGAGAAAATGTGAAGTGCATGTAATGGAAACCAAAGAGGCAAGATTATGTTTAGAATAAGGCAGACTCTCAGAGGTTTATCTGATGCAGCTATCAACCACCTGGACTCATCAGTACAGTGCAGGTCTTACTTCTTACAGGTCTGTGTTCAATCGCTGATGGCCCAAGTGGCGGGGCACCATTCATTCCTTCCGTCCTATTCCAGCTCCTTGTCTTCATATCCATTCCAAGTGCTATATAGTCATACTGACTTAGCTCTTTCTCTTCATAATTACCTCACCTTACCACTTAGAAGTTGTCAGTAGTATTGAGTGTCGAGATATTGATGTACACATGAATATGTGTTGCAGTACAACAGCCAGGCTATAGTCCTAACTACAGCTCTATGATAAAGAATGATGCTTTGACAATAACTACCTTCAACTACACATTGCAAAATGTTTGGCTAAGCTACTATCAACTGTGAATATATGCAGTAATTTCAATAAATGTGTCCAAAGATGAGACACAGTATGCTAGTTCAACAAAGATGAGACACAGTATGCTAGTTCAACAAAGATGAGACACAGTATGCTGGTTCAACAAAGATGAGACACAGTATGCTGGTCCAGCAATAATTATGGTTATACACGATTTTGTGATGGAAGGAAAAACTAGAAATTTGGCTCAAACTGTAACATGACAATTTAGCTTTACTTAACTGATAACTTAACCAAAAATTGTGACTACGGCTGGAGTATGATGGTTCAGATATATATACTGTATATAAAATGATGGTCACACAGTGTCTATATTATATTATGATCATTTAAACGTAACTGTCAATATATATTATGATTTAACTCTCATTCTAGCTGCAACATTAAGCCATAGTGTGACTGCCCAGCTGAGGTTTTAGCTGTAGTGATGTAGTCTAGTATACGAGCTAAGCTTCAGCATAAACTGTGTGTCTGCACCTCCCCGTGCTGGGGGATGGTGATGCATAGTTCATTCTCCATTAAGCTGAACATCTGCTTAGTGACTGATAGCTAAAAATGAGTGACATTATCACTACATGAATAAAATAACTTATTGATCCTTAAGTGAGTAGTAAGCTACCACTAAGTTTTTATCATCTAATAGATATCTATGTGGATATATATTATGTCTCAACAAAAGGATGGTTTTCCCCTCATATATAAACAATTAACAATATACTTTGCTATGATTTCATAAAGTCATAAATATTATTCCGATATATATTGTCCAGAAAACTAACAGAGTCCCTAAACAAGCATTGCAATACTGAGTAGGAGAAAGTAATTAGTATTATTTAATTCACTCTAACAATATAATTCTCCAGGCAAAGCTCAATGCTCTTTAATAAGGCAACCAATTCAAAAGCATTCCTGATATATTCAAAGCTTGTGAATGGGATTCCCACTGCTATCTAGTACATTATGTCTTATAATTTAAGGAAAGTTGCTACACACACACACACACACACACACAGCATAGTGTCACAACCAATACTAACACCTCGAACATGATAATAAATTTATCACATATTTGTGTTTGTTTTCACAACTGATATACATTAACACGGTAAATTAAATTCTTCCACTCATGAGTTCAAATGTTTTAAAGCAAATCAGTTCTTATTCATTTAGCATTTTTAGAATTCACCAGAGCCAGATATTTAAAATATATCGCTAACCTCTAAATCATTCATTACAATTCTTATTATAAATCTCTTTCAATACAGTACTCTTAAAATTGTATATTTTGTTATGTGTGCTTTTTGTGACAGATGGCCGGAGTTTATATTCATCCTACAATAACACTCTCGTCATCAATATTCACACTTCCTATTTCCATTTTATATGGTAAACAGGAATGAATACGTTTCATAAATGTCAACTCCAAGCCTTGTTGCCTTCCCTTTTCTAAAGGTATGTGCAGATACAGTGCAATTCTGGAATCACTACCACATACTATAGTTTGTCCTGGAGAAATAATGGTGGTCAGTTCACATTGTAGCACAAGCTGAGGCAACAGTGACAATGCTTGCTTCTCTCATAATTATCTCCATTCAAGCATCAAAACTGACATTAAACCTTTATCAAAATTTGGTCAAACATAACACACCATTAACTGTAAGTAATGACAAATTTAGAATTAAGTGGTTGCCATAAAGAGGTACTGTATAAATAGTGAACTCTATTATCATAAACGGCTATTTGTGTTCTGAAATGATGAAATATTTAGTCAGCTTCAGGCAGGCCCAAATATATCAATTGGATAGTTGTAAATAACACTTTAATACTCTTCAGTACTTGCTGGAGAACTACAAGTGCAGTCACTGTTTACATGAAAGTTTCACAGCCCAGTCTTTCTTAGACTGGTGCTTCCCACTCAGTAATGACAGTCATATACCTAGTAAAGAAATCACAAAGGCAAATCAATATTCTGGGAGTATCTTGTATCACGCAGGTTCTCAACACCTGATCCTTACACATTAGTTCTTCAGTGGATCCAAACTCTCGAGAGTAAAGTCATCATCTGTAGTGCCAAAGGAAAGTCCCCGACTGAACCCAGCCTGTCAAATGAGCTTATATTAGTACATTTTAAAAACTTGAATACCATGATGCATATTTATTCAGATCACTCACCATTTGTTATAGTCAAATTCATGTAAAATACAACAAGGATAACACATCATGCTGAAAAGCTATAATGAATCTAGAAGGAACAGTAAAGTACTGAGGAGCAGTTATATTTTATACATGTAGACTAGACCAAGAAAAGACAGTACCAAGTCAATAAAATCAAACTTTAAGACAACAAAAAAGAATATTTCAGATACTGTCCAAAAGATAACACTAACGCCACTTCTTAAAAAAAAATTTTAGGTCAAAGGTGTCAGAAAATATATAGGAAGATAGTTTATTTTAGACAAAGACTATGGACTGTAAAAACTGTACATTATGCAGTACTTGAAGCAAAATACAAAACAGTAGATGCGTTCCAAGAAAAGCATGCATAATATGAGCTCGTTGTGTGAAACTCAATTTCACGTAGTAAAATAGTGGTTGAGTATATATGTTTTCACTCTTCTTTAGATCCAATAGTCGTCAAAAGTGTAAGTACCGAGAGGTCAGACTGCTCTCACACAGGGAAAACATATGGGTGGTTTGTGTGAGCAATCACAAGTAATCGTTCTTCCCCCGGCTTCTAGCTTCATTATCACCGGCAGTCACGTCTTTTCTGATTCTCGCTTTCTCTCCACCAGTAGTCATTCTCTAATGCTTATCTTTAAATACTCTCACTGATTTTTCCACAAGTCTCTTGCTAGTGTTCTACCAAGAGATGGGACTAAGATTTTAACATAGAGAACTGAACTGCAAGATGCACGATTCACTGAGAACGACAGGGGGGAAAACAGTGGCTAAGGTATACAAAATAATATTCAAAACCTATTACAGTACCTTGATTCTCATGTATATGATATACTTGGATCCTCTGGAAAATCATGTGATAAATCTTATAAATAACAAACTATAATTATATAAACATAAATAACAACATCAGAGCCAACATACAAATACTGTACTTACCTTCATTTCAATGAATTGTGCAAGGGCATCGTTACTGTTGCTAGGAGGGGAAAAGGCCACAGATCCAAAAGGATCTCCACTTGGGTCAAATATGTCATCTGACAAACCATTATGCGCAGGATGCTCAAGAGCTCTAGCTGGCCGAGGAGGAGGAACTGTGGGCAAAAATGATCTGCATCTAATTTACTGATATTACCTTTATGGTCAGACCCCTTAGACAGAACTTCCAATACCCATTTGCCACATTTAATTTGCCAAAATGAAACTCTTGATGAATAACACATACGTTACCATAATTTCCACACATTATGGCAACTCACTGTATAGTACACTGTGTGCAGCTGGCCAGTACAACATTTGCTTACAAGATGCCACATATACGGTATACTGTATTGCAAAATAATCTGCTCTCATTAACTATTTTCCAAAATCCTCAAAACGTTCACCAAAACATTATGTACTCTGCTTATCATGAAAGAATTATCCTTGCTGCCCAAAATGCTATGTGTGTTAGTGGCTTTGCAAGAATGTACAAATACCAATCTTATGTAATATCATCAACCCATTGTACCTTCTTGTGAATAAATTATTATTTACTGCTAGATGAACACGAGCATTAGATGATAGGAAATACCCCCAACCATTTCTGTCCCGCCTGGGATTCAAACCCGGAATTCCCGATTGTGAGTTGAGAATGAACCCAACTGTACTGCCGGGACCCTCAACTTCATTCAAAAATATTTGCCTAATACCACACTTATTATTATAATTTATTATACAAAATTATAAATGGACCCATTTTTGTAAGCAATGGAAGTACACTCCTAGGACATAAGATTACTGTACGTTTCCCAATATTTACCCAGAGCTGGTAGAGAAGTAAAGCCATTTAACTCAGGTGTAGGAACATTGGCAAATGACGGAGGCTTCTTTTCCTCTGCTCTGGGATCAAAATCATCATCTTCATCATGAGCTTCATCGCTTCCATTGCTGGAGGAGCTGTTCATAACATCCACATTAGTCGTTAGTGCTTCTTCCGCCCGCGGGTTAAAATCATCATCATCGGCACCATTTGAAGTTATTGGGCTTGATAATATATCTCTGAAAGAATATGATTACAGTACTGTATTAAGATTTATATTAACAAATACACCTAATTAAGAAAAATGGATAAAGCCTCACTAAGTGGGATAACAATGAAAACTGTCAATAACAAAATCTGCTAGATCTGTAGAGCAACTGTTTACATAAATACTGCATTACATTACATGAACACAGAAATGGAAACCGTTGCAAGCAAAGAAATGTCACTAACCATTTAGTTAGCAAAGAAATGTCACTAACCACTATTAGATTATTAGTTGTACAATAATTTGTAGTGTTTCTAGAAAATTGCCATAGAAATACTGTACAGTACTACTAAATGAATAAGAGACTTTGCAGATGGAGAACTTCATAAAATAACTGTGACGTTCACAGTTACTTTGGTTGTTATGGTCCACACAGCACAAGACCATATACTATGCCAGACAGAACGCTGTCACGCTTTAATACACATAACCTTGAAGCCCATACAGCTGGTCACATGATTTATCAGTATCTTATTACTCTTACAAGCTAAATATATATAGTCTGTAAATTATGCAGTGTTGTACTGGTGAACAATGGCAAACTGTATGATGATGATAATTCTGAAATCATTTAACATACTTGGTACCTCCCAACATTACCTCGGTCTCTTCTTGTAATAAATTACAGTATTTTGTACCATGTAAACTGCACAACAGCACAGCTAGTATCAAATCACAAATAAAAGCCTGAATCTCCAAATGTGTGTTGATCAATAAGCAACACTATGTTATATTTAATTATACAATACAAAGACTATACTAAGCCTGGCACGTAATCTTACAGCTTAACACTGCATTCACTATCAATCTCTTAATTTGTTGGTACTGTATGCTAATGTTTGAATAGGTCAGGCCAGGCTGGATCAGGTCAGGTCAGGTTGGGTTGGTCAGGTCATACCAGGTCAGGTCAGGTCATGCCAGGCTAGGTATAAGGTAAAGCGACACAAAGCAGTCAGCCCCAGAGACACTTCAAGATGTTACACGACCAAAGATCATATTCACTCCAAACGTTAACCTCTTACTGGCTACTCATGCCCATGCCACCACTTGTGTCGGATTAATCAATCACTCAATCACAAAGCAGTTTCTATTTCCTGTAGCAATGCAACTTAGTGAAAAACATCACTGCATTAAATGTCATAATATCAGACATACTGTTTCACTATACAGTATTTAATTATTTTATTATATTAAATGTATTTTATATAGGGAAACCACCACTGGTGCAATTGTACGGACCCATAGCCTCGAAGAAGAAATATATATTTATTTAATTATATATATGAAATTATTTTATTACTGCACTTTTTTAGGATTACTTGAACAGGTTACTTGTTAGGTTAAATTATATTACAGGTTACTTATTGTTACATGTTATGCAGCATCCAGGTAATTCAACACCCAATGGACCTACCTTTCCTGTATCTAATTAATCTAAAGTAGAAGTAATAGAAATAATCTGTATCTAAAAAAAAATAGAAGAGCAGTGAGCCTAGCAAACAACAATACCCTTACCCATTTGTTCTGCTATCAACAGCCTTAATTATAAACAAAATTTTTATTTTAATTACTGGATTAGAGTCGAGTCTTCGTCTTGCTTTGGAGTGTTCCTTGGTGGAACGGGTGGCGGGCTGATGCCACTAGTCGAAGCTAGCGGCTCACACAGCGACTCAGGATCAGTGCTGCTCTCACCATTCAGTGTCAGCAAATCAGAGATCTACCAAAAAAAATGAATAATAATAAGGTTTTGAGTTAATATGACATGTATCTGACCCTCCATGCAAGCAAACAGATATATAAACATCAAAAATAGATTTAAACCATTATGCAAACATAACAAAATTACAAAAAGGATATTTTAAGCAGTCCCAATAAGTTTTTAACACACACACACATGCAAGGATATAAATTGCAACCATACATTCAAAAAAATATTCATCATAAATATAATTCTTCTCTGAAAAAGTATAATGTACTGTACTATTTCGATGACAAGATCTTCATATACTATACAAACACTTACATTGTTTTCTTTCATGTACTCTTCCACATCTGGTCTGTTCTTTAAGGTGGCCATTTGTGTGATACGAGTCTTTAGTATTTGGTTCTCATCCTCCAGCCCTTGCACACGCTTCTGTAGCAAAAGCAGCTGACGACGCATCTCTACCTCGCGGCCTGAAGTCTCCACAAACCGCCGATATGCTAAGTCAAAGGCCTGGCCAATCGTTAGAGTGATTTCTTCAGCCTGCAAAGAATATTACAAACTATAAAGTGCACTCACAAGTGAAATGTCCTTAATATTTGGACAAGCTATACTTAATTAAGACTGAACATTGCTAACACTAAAAAACTCAATGGGCAATGACTGTTTTCTAAAAGATATGTGAACTGATCTGCAAAATAATGAATGAACGTACTGTATTTCAATAATTTAACCCCCCCATGTCAAGACTATCAATTGACGTGGACAATCAGTATTTTGGCCAGTCAACCACTATCTCTTATTTCACTTTTAATTTATATGTGTATATATACTGTACTGTATTTTAAAAACTGGTAAACACAAGCAAAAGTTAAATAAACTTGCAACTTCAATGTAATTAATATTAAGACAATTATAATTTACAGTGTACACTAACTAGCTGAGCCATCATTTTCCATGAAATTCAAAATGCATCCCAATTTGCCTGCCAGCTGGCAAGTCAACTAGCAGGCTACACAGCCACCTGGCTAGTAAGTTATTAAGTCACACAACCAGCTGGCTAATCAGCTAGTGGGCCACAGCCAGCTAGTTAGCTAATCAACTATCAGGCAACATGGTCAGCCAGCTAGTAGACTATACAAGCCACAAGCCGTCACGCAGACTTACCAACTTGTCGCTGACAAAGACAAAGCATGTGTGTTTATCAGAATCGGCCTCCTTGGCAATGAAACTGAAGAACCGCTTCTCGGCCTTGTCATCCGCACAATAACTGATCCTATGCAGTGGGTACTGGTGGAGATTTCGCTGTGTCAAATAGAACACAAACAAGTATTAAGAGAAGAACACATACTGTAATTTACATGCTCATCCTTGCAAAATATCATAGTAGTTCATGCAGTGTCCTCTAGAGGTCTAAATTCAATACAATTCTCCTAAATTGTTTATTAAAGTAATACATTCACACGTTTACATACAGTATACCTCTCCAATTTCCTTCGGTGTTATATTTTTGTTTGTTTCTTGTGCACACATGCACACACATGCGCACACACATGCACACACACATGCACAACACGCACACACATGCACACACAACCTGCAATTTCAAGAACAAGAGGCTATTTAAGCAAAGGTGCTAACAAAGGTATGAAAGTTCTCTTTTGCAAACAGAGTTGTAAACAGTTCAAGATCTCTCAACAGAAAGAGTATATAAGAAATAGAAAGAAATAGGGAAAAGTAGTTGAACTCGGGTTTAATGATGATTAAATCTTAGCTAGTGAAGTCCGAGAAGGAAACCCCAAAACCAAAGGGAAGTGAACTATGTAGCAAGTGACTTATTGTGACTAGCATACGTGTTTGTGAAACATAAGAAACACCCAAATTGCAGGACAAAGTCCCAAGGAAAGCTAGCTAATGTATACATAAATTATATAATTGTTTAAGCAAAAGTCAGCCATTGATTAGGCCACAAATGAGTGCCTTGGACTGCCCAGTGATGGCAGTGGTTGATGGTGCGAAAGGTTCAATTGGCTGGTTCATCACTCTTCCACAATTAAAATCTTCCACAATTTTATTAATACTACAATACTGTATTGTGTTGATAATAGATTTAATAACCAAAAATGCATATCAATTATTAAGGAAATATGAGACAGGGAGAGAAAAACATCAGTCAAGTGCCTTACCTTAGTTTTAGGTTCATGTATAGCAACTCCATCGATGGACACAGTCAGTTCTACTTTTGGAGTCTTGCTGCCTTCAGCCTTCTTCAGCTGCTGATTGAACTTAAGTTTACGAATGCCCTCTTTCACCACCTCGATGCCCTTTGGTTGGTCCACTTCTGTGCTCCCAAGGAACTGATGAAATAAAAACTTTGATATACAAACACTGTTGTGGTTCATAAATAGTTTTCAGTGAACTATATGAACTTCAGTGAACAACATCTGTACAGTGGACTGCACAGATGTTGTATCAAGCTTAAATGGAGCATATTCAAAAACTGAGAACAAATAAATAACACTTTATACTAATAAAAAAAAAAAAATTCAATATGAAACAAACTCCACAAGGTGGAGAAGAATAGATTTGTTTACTAAAATTAAACAAACTAAAACATAAAAATCATTCATAAAATTAATGCTCACTTTAACCAGGTAGGCAATGTGACCTTTCTGCAGTGCCTCCGGGGGATGAATCCAGTTCTTGTTGGCTGCCAAGAAGAAGAAGATAACCACTATTACATTTGTGTCGGCAGTAGAGGAGACAGCCACCAATATTATACTTATAAAACATATTATAAAAGACTAATGATATCAGTATAATAATCTAGGGTTATAATCACTAAGGGCCGGGCAAACAAATCAAGAAGAAGGGATGAACAAATCCACAAGGGCCGTGAACCCTCGTCACGGCCCTTGTGGATTTGTTCATTTGATGCATCACGCTATTAGATTAGATTAGATTTTTTATTCAGGTAAAGGTACATACATTGAGGATGAGTTGCAAACATAATGTTGGAATATAAAGATAGAGCTAGTACATACAATACCTAAAGCCACTAGTACGCATAACGTTTCGGGCAAGAAACACTAAGCAGGGGGGAAGCTATTGTGATTTCTGTGGGTAATCTAGGGTTATACTTTTCTAAAGGCTAAATATCAGTTTTAAGAGGATCAAGTACTGTAGTAGATTTCAGTGTAACAAGATTTTAACAGATAAATACTATTGAGGGAAATATTTTTATGACTTACTAACAGTACTGTACAGCAACGCACAACAAGATTGGATGCTGTGTGAAATAACTAAGATTTAAAAACTCCACAAATATTGTGTTGTGGTGTGGTTATAAACACTGCATAAAAGGATGATAATTTACCATCATGGACATAAATATTCATAATAAACCAGCCTTGATCTAAGGTCAGCCATGCCATATTAATTACAAAATTTAAACACGTATATTTTGGCAAAAATGCTTTTTAAATGGCATGAATATAGTCAGGGCTATGCAAAATATTCTTAAAAAATGCAGTTTGCTAGTGGAACTCTTTAACAGGAATAAGCACAGTAGTGTATTTTAGTTTTGCTGTGTGACTCTCGGCTGTTCTTCAAACCCTTTCAAAAAAATAAATATAATCTACACTGGAAAAAGTTATTTAAGAGCTAGACAACAGGACTAGAAACATACATTGAACAAGCTAACATGCTCTTTAGCCTTGGATGATGTTATTTTTATAATGCCTTTCTTTCAAGTCTTGTACATTAATTTCTCACTTCTTTGCAGTTTCTTGGGATCTTTCCATCATTCTTACTTTGGATTGCTTTCACCGTCTCTTGATTTTACTTTTAGTGCTAGACACTGTTAATGCAATACAGATTTGTGTTGCGTTTCTCCCCGCCTTGGGGAGAAATGCGACACAAATCTGTATTGGGTTATTATTTCTCGGCCTTGAGTTATTATGCATTTCAGGATTACACAATTTTTCAACTGCTGTGCATTGTCATGTTCCTTACATCATCCACCCATTGTACTTAACCTGAATATAAATTATTTTTACATATTTCCTAATTCTTTATAAAAAGTTTCTGTAGTTTTGTATGAATAGAAAAGTATTCTGTAATTCTTTCTGTAAGTTAGGAAAGTACTCACCTAATTGTGCTTGTGGGGGTTGAGCTTTGGCTCTTTGGTCCATGTGTGTAAGGGGGTGAATAGGAATCCTCCCTTACACTTCAAAGTGTGCGTAAGGGAGTGAATAGGAATATAGTGTGCCATGTGTGTATAATAATGAACATGTACTTCACAAGAAAGCTATAACACCTTAATATATTGCAGGAGACACTGCACCAAGTAATTTATAAGTCTGAATATGAACCCAATTTTTTTGAATGCTTATGCAATATCTGCAATGCCTATCACTACTACATCAAATGTGACAGCTTTCACCTTCCAGCTGTGTGTGGGGTGACAACTGCCTTGAGGAGAGCGCAACTTAACATTATTGCCGCAATGTATCTAACTTCAACCTTCCATTGTCATCATGCACAACCACCGCCTCGAGGGCAATGCACTTTGAGATCACGTAATTCTGTGGCTTGCATGTTAGAGCTCCCCCCCCCTGTTCCCTCCCCAGCAACCACAGGTGGCCTGTGTGTTGTCATGTTGATGTTCTCCCCCAGCAACCACAGCATGCAACCACAGTTGGCACCCCACCCTCAGCAACCACAGCTGACCCCCACCCCCATCAACCACAGATGCCCCCCCCCCCCACCCCTATCATCCACACCTGGCCCCCCACCCCCAGCACCCACACCTGTCCCCCCCCCCACCCCCAGCTGCCCCCAGCAACCCCACCTAGCCTGCCACAGATCAACAAACCTTCCATCTCACAATTCAACACCGGGAAACATTTCCATACAGCACTAACCTCATCTCTGTGCCTTCAAAGGCCAAGAATAAGTCACTGTCTTTAAATTACAACAAATTCGAATAGTTTTGCTGGAACTAAACTTCACATGCCTTCCACCCTTAAAATACACTCAAAAAATGAAAGTTTGTTGATACTTTTTAAGATACACAGAAGTATATTTATACAAGTCACTCCACAAATGTATATACCTGTAACAGTATATGAGGCAATGTTAGCAAGCTGTAACCTGGTCGGAAAGTTCCCTCTGAGCACGAAATACAAATACATTTCAACTCTGCTGCAATAAATTTTGGTGTATGTGAATACATCAAGATAAATCGGTAGAAATCAACTTAAGTCAGTAGAGCTGTTGCTTACAGAGGTCCCGCATGTGTACCCATCCTATTGTAATCCAGCTGGTCTGCCACTGACCACCAGCATGGTCAAAGTGGTTAGATAACAGTCCTTCAAGTCCTCCTTATATCCCAGCTCCTTGTTCTCGTATCCCAGCTCCTTGTTCTCGTATCTCTGCACCTTGTTCTCGTATCTCTGCTCCTTGTTCTCGTATCCCAGCTCCTTGTTCTCGTATCTCTGCTCCTTGTTCTCGTATCTCTGCTCCTTGTTCTCGTATCTCTGCTCCTTGTTCTCGTATCTCTGCTCCTTGTTCTCGTATCCCAGCTCCTTGTTCTCGTATCCCAGCTCCTTGTTCTCGTATCCCAGCTCCTTGTTCTTGTATCCCAGCTCCTTGTTCTCGTATCCTAGCTCCTTGTCATATCCTAGCTTCTTGTTCTCGTATCCCAGCTCCTTGTTCTCGTATCCCAGCTGCTTGTTTTCATATCCCAGCTCCTTGTCCTCGTATCCCAGCTCCTTGCCCTCATATCCCAGCTCCCTGTTCACGTATCCCAACTCCCTGTCCTCATATCCCAGCTCCTTGTCCTCGTATCCCAGTTCCTTGTCCTCATATCCCAGCTCCTTGCCCTCATATCCCTTCCAAGTTCCGTACATTTATACACGGCTCAAGAGCTTTCTCCACCATTACATTACTTAGCAATCAACTACGGAAGGGAAAGCGGGTACCAGACAGCACACAAGGCAGGAAGGAAGAGGAGCATTGTGATGGCATTCCTTAATTTGAAGGTTCTCATAACCCCACCCTATAATTTGCCTGGTAGATGCTACCTTTGCCTTATTATGCTAAAGGTGAATTATACGCCGAGCGCGGAGTTTCCGGAGTCAGGCCGTGTGCACCTTTGGTCTGTGGGGGCTGCGAAGTGTATTGACAGTATAAAATATGGTTGCAGAAAGCCCAAACTGTTTGACACGGGGCACTGGGAGACATGAGTAGGGGGGGGGGGGTGGAGTGTGTTATCAGACCAGTGCAACAGCCACTACCCCTCCCCCCTCTGACCACATGCTGACTAATATATGTACGCATGTACTCACTGTACGTATGTAGGGATGTATCGAATGTGTGTGTGTGTGTGTGTGTGTGTGTGTGTGTGTGTGTGTGTGTGTGTGTGTGTGTGTGTGTGTGTGTGTGTACTCAATAACTCATTACTCGCACTTTTATCATATTCACATTTAAAACTTTAAATCGACTTAGCTTGGAACAACTTCCACGTTTAACCTACGTCCTGGACCATTCTCAAGTCGATCGACTTGAGAATGGTCCAGGACGGACCGAAACGTCGTCGTCCCTTCACCTTCTAGTGTGTGGTCTGGTCAACATGTTTGTTTTTAAATAGCTTCGTCAGTAATATGACGAATATGAGATAATAATATGGAATTCTGTTTGGGCACGTTGTTGGGTCTTGTGAAAGGTACAAGTTATCTTTGCATGGACACATTGTCACCGGGAATTGTCTCGAGTTTGAGAGTGTAATGGCTACTCTTGCTCTGTGAATCTGTGTTGCTCTACAGATTCATGTACAGCTTCAGCAATGTGCCTCAGCTGCTCACAATCCACCAGCAACTTCCTCCCAGGAATGTGTAGGAAAGGAAGGAAACTATCAGGGGGAAAGCGCCAAGCCATTACGACTATATAGCACTGGGAAGGGGTCAGGATAAGGATTTGGGATGGGACGGAGGGGAAGGAATGGTGCCCCAACCACTTGTGGACGGTCGGGGATTGAACGTCGACCTAGAGTGCAGAGGTGTGCCAGTTAGTTGTAGTCACACCACTTAATGTGGCTCTTGGAGGCCCTTGTAACGCCATCTGCGAGTTGATGGGTGTTGATGGATACAGCTGCAAGGTGCGCACACACACACACACACACACACACACACACACACACACACACACACACACACACACACACACACACACACACACACACACAAGTACTAGGAAGTGATGTAGTGGAGGCAGACTCCATACACAGTTTCAAGTGTAGATATGAAAGAGCCCAGTAGGCTCAGGAACCTGTACACCAGTTGATTGACAGTTGAGAGGCGGGACCAAAGAGCCAGAGCTCAACCCCCGCAAGCACAATTAAATGAGTACAATTAGGCGAGTACGCGTGTTTACGCCACTATCTGGTTGACAAGTTGTGAGAGCCTGTCCTTGACGCTATTTTCTGGCGAGAAACTTGTCAAGCACGCAGGTGACCAACTATGCGCATGCTGATGGCGTTTCTCCACCTGGGAGTCCTTGTAGTGGCTCGCATCCATTTATAATACTCAACTGTGATCCAGGGAGCTGTGGTGGTTTGTGAGGGTCTTAAAGGTGCTCTTCCTCTTTAGTCAACCTATTTATGGCCTATCTAGACACCAAAGTACATGTTTCTTGAGGGTTATCTTGAGA